GCAAGGTACACATTTGCAGATACATAGCATAACTCTAGAAATCTAAAATACAACTTGAGGATGATACAAGCTCCTCAGGTTCTGGGAAAGCTACATTCCTAAGAATATCTTTGGGCTCATTCCTAAGATTTGTATGTAACTCTGATCCTTGATGAACAGTGCATATATATGGCCCAGCACAATGGCTTGCTTCTGTAATCCTAGCATGTGAGAGTCTGAGCCGGGTGGATTGCCTGAACTCATGGGTTCAAGAGCAGCCTGAGCCAGAGTGAGACATCATCTCTAAAAATAGCTGAGTGTTGTGACAGGTGCCTGTAGTCTTAGCTACTTGGGAGTCTGAGGCAAGAGAATCACTTAAGCCAAAGAGTTTGAGGTTGCTGTGAGGGAGGGGAATAAAGTGAGACTCTGTCTCAAAAAAATACAAAAACAAAAAACAGTTCATATACAATAATACATGTAATAATAACAATAATAACAATAATATAATGGTTAAAAATGTGGCAATTTAACTAGTATAGTACTACAATAATATAATACCCCAACATTGTAACTAAGTTACAGAAACTATTGTGCTTTTTCTTTTCATTCTTTGGCTAATAGGAATATTATGCTTATTTCGATCTTGTTTTTTTTTTAGAGACAGAGTCTCACTCTGTCACCCTTAGTAGAGTGCTGTGACATCACAGCTCACAGCAATCTCCAGCTCTTGGGCTTAGGTGATTCTCCTGCCTCAGCCTCCCAAGTTGCTGGACTACAGGTGCCTGCCACGACGCCTGGCTATTTTTTTGTTGAAGTTTGGCTGGGGCCGAGTTCAAACCCACCACCCTCGGTATACAGGGCCAGTGCTCTACTCAATGAGCCACAGGTGCCGCCCTTATTTTGATCTTCTAACCAAATCAATACTAACTTTTCCATTTCAATAATGAACAAAATAATGCTTATAATAATTGATACTTTCATTGGAGCACTGTAAGTATACAAAACAGTAGAGTTTCTATAATTAATGACATGATATTATATAATGGAAATTTCCTAAGTCAATAGATGTCAGGGGCTCTTATAAAAAATAAAGAAATTGTGAGATGATGGATATGTTAATTTTCTTGTATGTAGTAACTATTTTACTTTGTATATCAAAACATCATGTTGCACACCTTAAATATTTTCAATAAAAATATACAGTATGTCCATATGTAGTATAGCTAATATAGGGATTGTTGTGGCTGGAATGTGGTAAACAGGATTGAGACAGAGGGGAAGGAATGAAGGCAGTAGACATTTCACAAAGCTATGAAATTTAGTAGAGCAATAGATGGTACCTTGACTCAGGTTAGCAGAGACCACAATTAAAATAATTAGATTGACTTGAGTAATTAGGGTGTGGGAATTGGCTTAACGAATACTTTGATAAACTCACATGACTACATGACTATGAAACTCTCATTCTCTCATTCTTAGAGTCTAGGTCAGATGACTGATGAAAAAACACACGTGTTGAGGGGGGAAGCACACTTAAACATTTGTAAATATTTGAAGGCCCATAACTTGCAAGGCACTAGATAAATGATAGTGACTAGAGCTCTAATAACCACCTTCAAGGTATTTATATTTCACCATGTCCTCTAACAAAGTGGTTCTCAATATTTTCTCCCCCTCCTTCATGTCCAGTTACAAATTCAGCTTATTTCTACTGACTCTTTCCTCAATTGAGTGTTTCACAATAATTTGGTCTAGAGCGCTTTTCTTCCTCTTATTTCTGTTTCCCTCTGTTCCTTTTTAACATACCTAATTTACTAAACAATGTCTTAATTTTTACTTAGTGCACATATATTTTTTAGATTTTTTTAGATCCTACTCACATATACGACATCAAGATCTTTAATTTCAGTACAGCTACAATATTGCTACAAGGGCACTTAGAAATGAAAAAAAAATACTGATTGGAAGGGAACTATAGTAATTTTGTATGTAATTATGGATCCATGCAACTCTACCTTAACAGTAATCTATGCTTTGTTCCAGATTTCCTTTAGTTTCCATCCTACATTACTTCTCAGCCCTTGCTCCTCTCTCTTGGGTTCATAAGCTATCTATCCCATTCTGCCTCCCACAACACGTCAAACACCAACAGTTTTACATGCTTCTCCTAACCATCTGCTCCATCCACTGGTGTTACCCTTGATGATTGACTATAGGTTTTTCTATAGCAAATATTCAAGCTAAGAAAAATACACTGGCTCACAAAGAGGTCCCTAGGGATGGAGGAGGGCTGGTCAAACCAGTATAAACCTGCCTCAAGCTCAATACTCTCTCTTATTCTGCAAATCAATTGATCTTCATATCACAAGTGGGCTTTGCTAGTCCCAGACAGAGCCATTGTGACCAGACTCACAACTGTTTGCAGGTACCACTCCTGGAAAAGGGGAAAAAGCCTAGATAATTCTGGGGTGCAAAAAGTCATGTAGGAAAAAGATTCTCTAATCTTTTCAACCGAATACTATAATCACTAAACTTTATATGACCACAGTTGGGTTCTACAATTTTTTAAATGACCAATGCCATTCCTGATAGCTAAGACTATCAGGAATAAAATCAGACTATCAGACTAAAATTTCTCAGTGTAATTACTATGTAGAGAATTCTTATCTACAATATTCCCAGTAGATGGTCACTCAGTTTCTACCTAAAAATTATAGTGAATATCTTGTTTCACAGGTCTGTGTTTTCTATTTGGAGGCAGTTCTTTGTTATAGGTTCTTTTTCTCTATTGAACTAAAATATAAGTTCTTAATATTTTTTGTTTATTTGTTTGTTTGTTTTTACCAACATTTGTTTGGTTAGGTATCTACTTCTGCTGGCACTAAGTATTGTTTTTTCACCTTTGATAAATAATGAATCTAAAAATATTTGAGGCCAAAATTACCAGAAGCATCAACTATTCCTTCATAGGCATTAAAAATAAATTGTGAATGTGATTTATTTTCTGAATCATAGATCTTTCCAAGAAACAAACAAAACAAAATGATTTTTTTTTTTTGCACTTCTCACTTGAACTTTGTACTTTATGGAAAAAAATTTGAATTTCTAGAGCATGAAACTATTCAAAGAATTATGCTAAAACTACATACACATTTTTCTAAGCTAGAAGTTAATAGTGGATTTTGTTCTCACCATAAACTTTGTAAGATATGCCTCATTCATTTTTTGACATGAGCAAATGAAGCTCAAGACTTAAATAACTTGGTTAAATCATATAGAATAAGTAGCAGGGCTGAGATTGTATCCCAGACTTATGCTATTCCAAAGACCTTGCTACGTTCACTATACCAAGTTACCTTCCAGAAGACTTGCCTTATCATTCATCTGTGGTGTGCTTTTCCCAAATGCAGTAGATGTATGGAATACTTGTATCTGAAGGACTCCAACGATGATGTATGAATGCTGAAGAAGTATTTTAACATATATGCACACTGTTTGGGTTCTTAACATGTTTCAAGTGAGATAATTTAAAAAACTCCATCCACACTTTATGTAATCTCACCTTATTGTATATTTTTATTCTTTTAAAGGCTTAAGATTATGAATTAAATGAAAACATAATTATTTAGAAAAAAATTAAAATATTGCATTGGTGTTAAAAATAAACTGTGAATATACTAAATTAGGATTTGGGATTTAATTGATACAGGTATAAGTAAAAAGACTAATAATTAAAGTTCATCGACTAAGCAAAATAATAGACACAATATTAATATTACTGTACTTTTTTTATTTTTATTTTTTTTTTTTTGTAGTTTTTGGACGGGACTGGGTTTGCACCTGCCACCTGCTGCATATGGGTCTGGCACCCTTCTCCTTTGAGCCACAGGCACCACCCTATACTTTTATTTTTAAGTAATGTTGTGGTATATTTTTTATCCTTTTCTAAAGGATTTCTTAAGAAATTTATTTTTTTTCTCCATGGTTCTTTTTATAAATACAGAGTTGGGAGGATTCTAACAAAATTTGGAGTCTAGACCATAAGAGTGAAATTTAATTGCAATTATATTATTTAAAAATATTTTTATAGAAATTTTTTATTTATTACATATGTTTACCTCGCGATTTTAATATGTTCAGAGTATATATTCTTCAATTTATGATTTTAATCAAATAATTTGTAGTATATCATTCTATTCAGAAGTTATGTAGGTTAAAATATTTAACAAATATAGTAAAGCCTTCCTATAAATGTACATTAAACTCCCAAACAATCTATTCATAAAAAACACCCAGATATACATATATGGATCTGTGTATTTACTTTTAACTCTACTCACTCCCCAACCAAGCTTTATGGAGTATTCTGGAAACTTAATTCTATAATATTACCTATTGAAGTATTTTGGATTCTACTTTGTCATCAAAAACATCTGTTATTCCTCCAGTGTATGATCATGATTTTTAGGTATAAAATCAGAAGATTTCCTAGATCTTTTATCAGAATCATCAAATTGTAGCTAAGCATTCCAGGGAAGAATCCCAAGGCATCAAGACGAATTCCACACACTGAGGACCCTGGTATAGTTTTTTATCTCTTATTTTGAGTGAACACTGTGCCTTCTGGCTTGTTCATACCCACCAATATCTGTCTGTAATGTTAAAAACATTGTCCTGCCATGTCCAATTGTCCAAGGAAAAAAATTCTAGAGAATGGAAAAATTGGATAGTAAACAGCATCAGAGCCACCCGAGAATCTGAACTATGAAGTTGACACGTCTCTACTGAGAATTTAACCTGACGACTGCTTCTCTCTTTTGCCAAGGAAATGGTTTAGCATTATCTCGCTCCCCACCCCAAGTAGCTGAAGCATTGATTTTTATCAGTAGTTTACATAATATAGTCTTGATTATCACCCTCAGCTACTGTAATGGCCAGCGTAGGTGTAAATGATGCAATGATGTCAAATGTCCCTTGTTCTTTTTCCCTAGGAATTGGACCTTGAGGATCTCAGGTGAGGGATGTCCTCTTGCAACGATTCCATTCCTCGGCCCTCAGTATTTGTCCTGGCTGGGATTCCTGGCCTGGAATCTTTCCATGTCTGGTTCGCTGTGCCTTTTTTCCTGGTATTTGTCATAACGGTCATTTGCAATATCACCATTTTATGTATTATCTGGCTGGAGAAGAGTCTTCATGAGCCCATGTTTCTCCTCCTAGCCATGCTATCAGTTGTTGACCTGTGCCTGGTCAGTGTCACTGTGCCCCGTATGCTGGGAATCTTCTGGATGAATGCCAAGGAAATCAGCTTCGATGCCTGCCTCACGCAGATGTTTTTCATCCCTTCCTTTTATGTCATGGAGTCTGGGATTCTCCTGGCCATGGCTTTTGACAGATACGTAGCTATCTGGTACCCCCTGAGATATATAACCATCCTTTCTAACAGCATGCTTGTAAAGATGGCACTGGCTATCCTGGCAAGGACAGTGGCAGTGCTGACCCCAGCACCCATCCTGGCACAAAGACTGGAAAGCTTCCAAACCCACATAATTGCCTACTCTTACTGTGCGTACATGGCTGTGGTACTGACAGCCTGTGGAGACATTTCTGACCACATTGTCTACGGAGTAATGGTTATTGTAGCATCTGTGGGCTTTGATTTGCTTTTTATCATTCTGTCATATGGACTTATCCTTCATGCTGTCTTTCGAATACCATCTTGGGATGCACGGGGCAAAGCACTCAGCACGTGTGGCTCTCATCTTTGTGTCATTGGTCTCTTTTATTCTCCTGTTGTCTTTTCTGTTCTGGCCCAGATTTCAGGCTACCATATGGCTCCCCATCTGCAAATCATCATCGACAATCTCTACTTCCTGGTGCCTCCCATGGTCAACCCGTTGATTTATGGGGCCCGGACCAAGCAAATGAGAGAGTGGGTGCTGCGGATTTTCCACTGCCGTGGAGGCTAAGGTTGATACCTTTGGTGGACAGGACATTTGGGCATGGAGAACTAGAAGTCAAGTTAGGTTGGAGTAGAGGTAATTCCTGTCTAGTTTGGGGCTTCATGGAGAAAGGAGTAATAAAGCAAAAGAAGAGCTCGGTCAGTGTGAGAATATAACTAGGACCTTTTTTTTCAATCACGTGCAACTGTTTTGAAACCCTCATAGCCAGAACTCTGCCAAAAGGCTAATGCAAGTAACAAAAGTGTAGAATATTTTGTTATTAATTTCATCACTTTTCTAGTTACATCATATCACGTAAATTGGAAATACATTTTCAAATGAGATAACAATTCCATTTAGGAATATGTGTTCAAGATGTATGGACAAACATAGTTGTACAAAATTTTTGATGAATTTTTTTTCTCATGAATATTTACATTTTAGCTTTTTTTTTGCTGACACAAAAATATGTTATAGAAAATAATCATACAGATATCAATATACATAATATCCATGAACATATAAATGAGTAATGAGCTTCCTTTCTTTGTCTAAAGAATTTTAAAAGAAAAATAAACATAAGTTTTAGTAATGTATAATGGATTGCACCTGGAAGATATTTTACAAATTTAAAAAAAAAGGAAAGAAAAAGCTGCTTTTTCTCTATCTTTCCTTTCCTTTCCATGTGACTTAAAATGATGTGTTGGTTAAAAATAATATTTTAAAATCAACCATTGAGTTAAGAGACATGCTTGTGTAAATTATACCCATCTTTCCATCGCTAATGTTTACAACTTAGATATTCTCATATCTACCTCAACAAACATACACACAGCTGACATTTATCCACACAAACATATACAAATGTACATACTCCTCCTTTCATTTACATAAAAAACATATACATATTCTCATTTATTTATCTATAAGCACCTTCCATGTTCTGTGTGTCTCACTGTCTCATACTATCACATTTAATATTAATATTTATACACTCCTCACCTGAGATACAGGTATAGTCACAGGAATGTGAATATGCCCATGTATAGAGTGAACATACTCAAGTACATTAATTAATATGCAAAACTATTGTACCAGTTTTCAGAGAAATAAATTTACTCTAATAAATTAATGTCCCATCTCAGAATGCTGCTTCCATGTGCTCTTATTCAATTTTTCATGCTGGTCTTACACAAGGCATCCTTATGCCAGCCTTCCTTGATCTCACCCTCTTTTTTCCTCCCCTCATAGTTGGTTTCTTTTTCCATGGTCTCCCGTTCCTTCCACAGTCATGACACAATCACACAATATATCATTGCCACTGTGGATGATCATTTTCTACATTTTCTAACATGAAAATTAATGTTTCGCCTATTCTTGTTTTCATAAAATCTAGAATGTCCACAGTATGGTGTATTTCATCAATACTACCTACCTAGGTAGGTCCCATTTAAAAAGGCTTCCTTGATGGAACAACAGGATCATAAAACAATGTGTAGGTAGCACCCAGCCTATCCACCAAAATAAAGGAATAGGAGAAATGAAAAGAAGGAGGAAAAAATGGGACAGAAGTAAGAAGTGGGAGAGGAGGGGCGGGAGGAAGGAAAGAAGCATTTTGATTTCCCAGCTGACATTCCTCCCCATTGAAAATCCTTTTATAGTGAAGTCTCTTCAACTCCATTTCTGTATTATTATTCTGGACATGTTTGTTCACATTCAGTGGACCAATATGTTCCCTAAACTGTAATTTCCTTTCTCAATTATTCTTTCTATCTTTTGCTGAATAATAAACAATCTCAGAATTTAGAGTGTGGGCCTGACTGGGCTCTCCTGTTAATGTTCTCATTTGAAGTTTCTCACATGTTTGCATGTAAAAGGGATGGGGCTAGAATTCCTGAGGTTTCCACAAGGGTGAACACAAAGTATGGCTTTTTCACTGAATAAGCCTGGTGCCTTAGTGCTCCTCTCTCTGGGTTCTTTCTCCATCACATTATCCTAGTTTTCTTACATGGTTTCAGGTCTCCAAGAGGTACAAAGTACAAGCTTCTAGGGTCAATATGGTCTATACACCAAACTTACACAACATCACTCCTGCAGCATTCCACTGCTCAGGGCAGTGAAAGAATCTGATCAAACTCAAGGATTGGGAAATAGATCTACTTCCTTATGGATACATTGCTTGGGAACATACAGTTTGGACAGAATTGTTATGATCATCCTTGCATTTTATATGCAACATACATTCACAACTCCCTCAGACTTTTAAGTCTCATCCCAATATTGGTGTCATGTGTTCAGAATTTCATCATCTACATACAGGCTTCATGGATTTGGTCTCTTCGGTATAGTTCTTGGAGCATGTTCCACCTTCTCTGACCATGGAGTTAACTAAAGATATAAATCATTTGCCCCCAAACTGCCGACATGCAGTGCTAATATAGTGATAGGATAACTGCACAAATTCCCCCATTCCAAAAGAGGGAGAAAGACTGAATATGGTGACTAATGGTCCATAGCATACCAAACTACAGATAGCTGCATGGTGTCAGCTTTCTGATTAGGGTCATCTTCTGTTCCATGAGGATAATTCTCAATTTTCCTGTGGTTCTTGATTTTATCCCATCAAAGCTACAATCTAAAGGTTCCCTAACACATCATCTATTTTTAATTTTTTGTATTAAATCATAACTGTGTACATTAATGCATTTATGGGGGACAATGTCCTGATTTTACATACAATTTGAAATGCTTGCATCAAACTGGTTAACATAGCTTTCACCTCACTTAATTGTTGTGTGAAGACATTCATACTCTACTATTAATAGATCTGACATGTACCCTTGCAATATTCACAATAGGTGTGGTTGCACCTATTATCCTCCCTCCACCTTGTCTCCCTGATCCCCTCCCCCTCCCTCCTCTTCCCTCCTTTATTCTGGGCTATAGTTGTGTTTTATCATTCGTATGAAAGTGTGGGTGATTATATATTGGTTTCATAATAATGCTGAGTACAATGGATACTTTTTCTTCCAGTCTTAAGATACTTTACTAAGAAGAATATGTTCCTAGCCAGGTGTTGTGGTGGGCACCTTTAGTCCCAGCTACTTGAGAGACTGAGGCAAGATAATCACTTAAGTGCAAGAGTTGTTTGAGATTGCAGTGAACTGTGATGCCATGGCACTCTACCTAGGGCAACATAGTGAGACTTTGTCTCAAAAAAAAAAAAAAAAAAAAGAAGAAGAAGAAGAAGAATAGTTCCAGCTCTATCCATGTAAACGTAAAAGAGGTAAAGTCTTCATCTATTTTTGTATGGCTGCATAATATTCCACGGTGTACATATACCATAATTTATTAATCCATTCATGGTTCAATAGGCACTTGGGCTACTTCCATGACTTGGGAATTATGATTCGGGCTACAATAAATATTATGGTTTCCATGCTTGGAAAACACAATGTGACACTCTCCACTTTCTTTACCCTCCGTTGTAAGTAATTCTTCAGTTTTTACCTCCTTTTGGAGGTTCTATATTATGGCTCCAAACCATCTCTAGCATTGTCCAACAAATGAATATTTTTAATTGTTCCCCATATTAGTTTTTACACATTTATTCTACTGTCAATTTGGGAAATTAAAGTTTTATTTCTCTGAAAATTAAAAGCTAAGCAAAACACTTTGGCTCATAGAGATTTATAGGGATTCATGAGAGGCAGAACATAGCAGACCTCCTCTCTTACTTTGTAAGACAATATTCTTTATTCTGCACAAACAGTAATTTTCTTCCATAATTCAAAAGGTTTGCTTTTCTTCTGGTCCCTACTCTACTGTGAATGTACTCTCAATCCACTCCAGGTATGCTTCCTAAAACAAGGCACAGGCAAGGAATGATAAGTTATGCAGATATTTTCACTGATTAGACACTCCAACAACTATTCAGGAATCAGTTTACAGTCCCAACTACTGACAATAATTATAGCATAGTTGGCATCTTTGTTCCTAATAAGATTCTTTGGAATGTGATGTCTGTCCACTCCATATGTTAGGAATGGGTAGTATCTTTATTGAGAATTAATGAGAATGCATTTAACTCTGACAAATGTCCCTGATAGCTGTGACTTAACCCAACCAATAGTAAGTAAGCTGCTATGATATTCTTCCAATGCCATATAATATCGGAACATTTCCTTCCTTTTGGAGGATTAATGACTCACTCTTTAAAAATTTCCATATAGAAAGAGCTGTTTTGTTCACACAAATATATATATGTGTGTGTGTATATATATACATATACATATATATATATATTTGTAGCAATAATGAGCTAACATTTTTCTTTTTATCATCTGTTCCCCCATAAAATATGTTGACCATAAAATATGTCTGATGTCTTAGACATTCTTCTTATATTTAAAGAGAAAGTTTCAAGACCTTTAAATTATTTTTAAAATAATAGTGTAAATTCAAAACTGATAATATGGTTTACTTTCAATTTAAGATATAAACAAAACATATTTAGTTTGTAAATGACTCGCTACATTTTCCATCCCATGATGAAGGAAGAATATTGGCAATTTTTTTAACACTTAATATGTAGATGGCTGAATTACACCATTTAATTCTCATGTCAATATTTAAGGTATATATTACCCCTTTTATGTTAGATGAGAAAAATAAAGCATAATGACTAAAATATATAAAATAACAAATTTATGTATTACATATCGTCACATATCATATACACATTACCACATATAATTGGTAGAGTTCTGACTGTACCCAAGATATGTAAAACTTCAAAGCTCTTGCTTTTGACTTCACTACATGAATTTTCACTTATGTTTTGTAACAAGTATAACTAACATGCAAAATACCTTCATCAGACTAACATCATCAATTAAGTACAAATATGTATTAATGTTTTACGTCTTAAATACAAAGTTTGATTTTCACACAGTTTTAAATAAACCAGACAAACATTTTCAAAGTATAAGTAATATAAAACCATTTTTGTTCTTTAAAAGAGAAAG